CTTTTGAGTGCGAAAAGAAACGGGGAAAAAGGGTCCCATTTTTGAGAATCTAGATTTTTTTTCTCGTTTTTTTCTTCATCCCGTACCATTGAACATCTCTACCTTGTTTCGTATGTAGTGAGCTGCCTTTTCATTGTGGATTCCGCCTTCAAGTAGAAAATTGGGGGATTCTTTGCGCCAATTGTATCTGCGAGAATTCCTCCAATTAGGTAGAGCATCGAGCATCCGGCGTTGACGATTCCCGTTCTGAGCTGCCCACACATTCCTTCATACACAAAAGCGTTGTGGTACCATACCATATGTCCCTAAACCTGTACTTGTTGGGCGGCCAGATTTTGTGGAAATCAGTTCTGTTGATTCCAGCGCCAATTAATTGATTATGGAATGATGGTAGGGCTGACTGGCTTGGGTGAAACATGTTGTGGTTTTTTTTTCTCGGATCTTGTGTCTGTAGTGGCGTCATATGTCCGTGCAACGTTTCCCGCATATCAAAGCTAAACGCTAATCATAGGATGCATAATATGATAATGAAGCGATAGTGATCTATTTTTAAGCATACAACTCAAAATTTGCCTCGATCAATAACAATGCTTGATCTTGTAGTTGAAAGTAACATTTTCGATGTGGTGACCTACGCTTCGTAACTTTCTCGAAAAGGCTTCACAAACTTCGCTCTTGCTCCGCATAACATCCTACGGAACTTCATCCACATGCTTTTCTAATAGCGGTTTTCGGTCCAGTCGGCATGCGCTTTATTATACTGGCTTTCAACTTCAATTTATGGCACGCTGAGTGTTCACTTGTAATTGGGGGATGGAAGCCTTCCTATTCTTTATTCTATGTGAAGTCCCAAATTGGCTTCATCAGACGTGCACCGAATCAGGTCTGTGACGCATCAATTTGTCTGTGCATGGGGTCATTTCGAATGGTCCTTTTGAAACAGCTTCTTTGAAACTTCCGTAGGCAAGATTCAGCGTAATTTTCTACTCCCATGTCTACGATAAGTATCAAAGTGCGAGAAGTGAAGGATGCTCCGGTCTATTCCATCATTATGCCAAAATATGAGTTGCAAACGCCATTCCCGCTTTGTTTGCTTTCTTGTGCGCTCGAACAAGTGGGGTGTGGTAGAAAGAAAGCGAATTTTTTGCGTTCCGCAGCGCGAAATTTTTCGCTGCGGGAACCTCGGGTCCACCTCTGATCATCAGACCCAAGGTTGTCCCGTAGCGAAAACTGTTTCGCGTGGAACGCGAAAAGTCGCTTACTTTCCTAGTGAACCATACCCGAACAAGTGCACGAATGTCTGTTGGTTGAAGATGTGCCCAGCCACGGGTTAAGTTCACATGGAACATGTAGCTTTCTGAAGCTCAGTTTCGTTTGCTATTTATGAAATTTGCTGTTTTCAGGCAGGGCTTATTACCTTTTTACTATACATAGTTGTATTACAGAATGCGACGATTCAGTACAATCCGGCTTACATGGCTCGTGTCTATGGACAAATTGGTTTGAATTACGACCTTGATGCTGGCAGACCGTTCATCTACTGTGAGGTTCGTTGTGAAGTAAAGCTTTGTTGGTACCCAATCCAAATTTATCTTTCTTTGTCCGATTTCCGAATAGTTACCTGCTGAACAAATATAGGTGAACGCAGTTAGAATGTACTGTCAGGTGTTATATGGCTCCCAAATTGAATGATTTTTGCTACACTGTTTCCCCAAATAAAAATGTTTCAGTCAAAGTCAATATAAAAACAAACTTTAGAAATTCGATCCGAAATCATGTGCACCTAATGATCCGCAGTGTCCGGTGCTGGAAAAATGCTATGCGGAGCCAGAAAATCGGGCCCAACGACTGGGTTGCATGACCGTGTTCAAGTACGTCACGGAGAAGGTACGTTCCAATAAATCTATGGGACTGATGTGAATTATAACCAACGTCTTATAACTAATTTATGTATCTCCTTGCACTTTTCTTCCCAAATCCCTGCTCAGGTTGAAGACCTCATTATGCGTTCGTTGATGTCAGCGCACAATTTTTCCGTGTCATTCTCATTCGCATCCCAAAAACATGAAAGCAAGAACGTGTGATGACTTAGAGGCGGAATTAGCATCTTGGGTTTTTGTGGAGTATTATGACTCCCGCAGAAACTTCTACATATTAAGCTATGATGAGCTTGTAAGAATTTGTTCACCTTCACTAAGGTGCTTTGTGGTAGAAAGTGTAGAATGCTAGAGTATCTGGTCGTGTTGCTTGGTATCAGCGAGGTAACGCTCAAAATCTGCTATGCATCAACAATAATCAAATGGTAACGATATTAACAATGATAATCTATGTAACTTGGACGGGAGTGCGAGTGCTGGTGAATTGCCAGAACAGCATAAGTGTACAGTAGGTAGTATTTTCTTTAGAAATATGACGTGATAGAAGTAATTCGACCTTATATATGTTGCGATAACAAGTGACACTGCTGCTTTTTCTTAATTGAATTTATTGTACTTCTCGCGTTTGACAGGGAAAAGTGCGGAAATTGTGCTGCTATTTCCTCGAGGAGCTGAGCAGCGCTTGAGAGCGCACGCATTTTTTGGCTCGCAGTAACATACACCCTTGAAAGTTTTTTTTTTGAAACGATCGGAACTGGTTAATGTGGACGGAAATTACCTAGTTTTTTTATTAGTTCCGTGGAGTTCTTGTATAATTCCATTTCATGATAAGCAATCAAATTCAAGTGGGCCTTGATCTCTTATAGTAGCCTTATTTCTCCTCAAATTTAGTTTTTGAAGTGAAAGGTTTCATCGTGGACCGGCCTTTTAGTAGGTCCGCCCAGCTCCTAGGACAGTGATGTTCATTCATTTTCAATGAAATTTTCACCCTACTATGTGATATTGCTTTCTTCATCTGTTTTTTCAAGTCATGTTAGCAAACGCCAAGGAAAGGCGCAGTTTTCTTTCACTAGCCCAATGAAGATTTCGGTAAACCAAAACAATATGGCTGTGGTGATCGTGATCCCCCTGAGGTATAAGCTTTTGCGAACCTTCCTCTTCTACGCGTTCCCATGCTTGCTTGGGACTCGCTGCCATAAACTCCTCTCGGTTCATGACGACATGAGAACTGTTTTTTTTTTAATCTGAAAAATTCCCATCTACCTCTATATTTTTTAGAATGCGAGTATCGAAGAGCGGAAGATTGAGGTCACCTTGAAGGGGTGCTGGCAGCATGACAAGGAAGTGATAGCGGATTGCAAAGTTCAAGATGAGGTACGCAGAAGAATAATCTTTTTCATATTCGCTCCCTCCATTGTCTTGTGCTTAATCAACAAATAAGTGGACCGTAAACTTCAAGGCTATACAAACACGTAGTCTTCTTCATTTTGGATTTTTTTTAATTTCTAAGGTACTCCCTGAGTTTTTAAATGCTGAATAGTGTAGTTTTCTGTTAGACTCAAGTGTTGCTAACTTGAACTCAGAATAGTTCGAAGCTTTTCAGGGACGAATATTTACGCCTTAATCAACCATGTCAATTTCTCCCAATTTTTAAAGTGAAAGAACTTCAGTCGATGTTGCAAAAAATCCTTTTTGTCCAGTTGAATGCTGGTTATGCACAAGTTTCGATAAGATTGGTCATCCAATTTCCATCGCGACTGCGTCTAGTCCTACTTATGGAGCCCGAATCTTTGTATTTAGCTTTAGTCCTTTTTCCTGTGAATGGAAATAGGCAAATTGCTAGTGAATTGTAAGTTTGGTTTGCCTAGTAATCCTCATTCGTTAGTTTGAATTCCTGCTTGTTTATATGTTGAAATTACTGAGGACTATTCTCTTGTCTGCCCCTGATTCGACTGGGGTTTTTCGCGTTCATCGCGCGGCTTAAGTCTGCGCAGAACGGGAATAATGTCATTAATCTGCCTTCTAGGACAACTTTTTGATGTAAAGAATTCTGAGGAAGATGAAATCTTAATTCTGATAAATGCAGTGCCGATAATTTGAGAAAAGAGGGAGAATTTGAAATGCTCTTGGATGTATTTTGGCCGCAGGCTGAGGCTGCTGTTTTGCTAAGCGAGAAAAAATATTGAGTCTTTGGAAGTGATAAACTTTAGTGCGATCGATTACCTATTCATGAGGTGCTGCTCTGAGAGAAAATGTTTTCAGTGTGTTGCGGAGAGTGGCAGACGACGGCCAAAGCCGAACATGGAGTTTTGTTGCTGCCGGACACATTTGTGCAACAAGAAGGTATCAATAAGAGTGGTGGATGAGGCGCCGCGAGAAGACAATGGTGTGGCTCATGTTAATGGTTTGTTATCTCACTTTATGAATCCCAAAACCTTGTTGTAAAATGCATCTGTCCAGAAAAAGGTTTGAACTTTCCTTGGAGCTTTGAGAATGGACGATCGATAAAGTCCGGGACGTTTGTTGCATATATAGAGGCCGAAACCGCTACATGACCTTTTCAAGCGAGTGGTCAATGTTGATAAAAGACCATGTAAGAGGCAAACTGACCTCTACGGAACTAGGGGCTGTGGCCGGTGGAGGAGTGTTGCTTTATAGGTTGCAACAAGTGGGTGGTGGGGTTCCCGTTTTCAAGTTTGAATAGACCTCACTTTATCTCCACGAATTTCAGACACCGCAACGGATGGTGCGATGTCACGGTGGATGAACACCATGTGGTTTATAATGTTGTTCGGTCTAATCGCCGTATGTGTGATCGGTGGTCTGTTAGTCTTCTCTTTGGTCTACAGATGGTGCTGGCAGAATAGAGACAAAGCCAAAACTCAGGTAAGACAGAGGTGTTGTGAAGCTTCATGAGCTGGTTTTTACTGTGGGAATTTTCTTGAGAGAATTAAGAAAAACTGCCTTTTTGAGGCAGTAAAGCATACTTCTGTCCGTTTTATACAAACCCTCTTTTCATGGAGATTTTTCTTACCCTTCTGTGCTTTTTTGGATATTTACCGATAAATACAATTTGCTAAGTAGAAACGGATCAGTCGGGCTCTTTAGAGCTCTGAATTAGCTTTTTTATTTTTGTCATAACTATAGTTAATGTGCTATGCAGTTTCCTCCAAGAGTTCCTGAGCTCTGCTGAGATTGCGGAAGTGGTGCAGCGGGTAATCCATGTTTATTTACACGTATTATTAGGGATTAGCTTTTTTTCAGGAAGTAGTGGGATCTCTCCCAGGAAATCTTTTTAGCTCTGCAGCTGCAACTTGTAAACGCTAACATTTTGTGTGCGTGTGAAGCTTCATTTGGCTAATGAAAGCCCCCGCATAAGGCCTCTGACTAGTGCCACCGCTGTCCTCAGCGCAATGGACAATTGCCTGTTGGGTCTTCTATTACGTGCAATCTGGCAACACGCGACAGGCCAAAAGAAGCATGAGCGCTGCAGCGACGGGGGAATCATCACCATGTAATACATACATACATGATAGCAACTCGGTGGCTTGAGCGCTCGAGGCGTCAAAAGGTGGCAACCTGGACGATCAAAATCAATCTCGGTAGAAAAAATTAGGCTTACTGCTCATGACCATTCCGAAACCTCCATGCGCCTTGCCTTTTCGAATGTTTACGATTTCTCGAGCACTCGATCCTCACCAACTGACCTCCGACTGACCAACCTGTGCTTCCTCTCCCTCCTTTCTCCGCACAGATTGTATGAAATTCTTTCTAAAATCTTGGCCAGTTTGGCGATCTTACGAATTGCAAACCTCTTATGTCATCCTCAAGAGGCGCTCCTCGTACAACGGATGTCAGAGACCAGCATTTCAAGAAATTCTTGCTGCGCCTGTTGGTGGAGGTCGAAGTGGGCTAGCGGATGGAGTTTTGTTAGACAACCGAGGGCGGCCAATAATATGGAAGAAACGCTGTTACCTTAAAAAAGGCACAAAACACTCGGAGCTCTTATGCTTATTTTTCTTAAACTAATTGTTAGGGAGTGAACTCCGAAAGCGTGAAAGTTCAAATAAACTGCTCACTTTTTTCGGGCGACCTATTATAATCGTTGAAATTATGAACTGATCAAACACAGACTGTTAAGCGTCAATATCATTCAGACTGTCACGGTTTCTCAGCAAAGTGAGACATATGCTCTTCTGAACTGTGCAGCAACACGTCCCACTTTCGAGATTACTGATTTGAAGGTAATAGTTAGCACCATTTTTTAGTACCATTTTTTATAATGCGAATTCAACTTGCCATTAGTCGATTTCTATGATTTGCGAAATATTATCATTTTGTAGTGTCGGAGTGTGAGGTTTGTAAACAGAACCGTTTTGTCATTCCTCACGTTTGAATGCAAATTAGCGCCATTCACGAACTGCTACGTCAAGCTTCAGTGAACTCTCTCTGCCAGTGGTGCACTTATGTACCATCGCAGTGGTGTGTGTTCCATCAGTAGTCAAACGGTTAGAGGGATTATCAAAAAGGGAAATGCAAGTACGCTTCAGAAAAACTGAAGCGACGAGGAATGCGAGGCCCTAAGCAGTTCGGATATCCGCACAAATACGTAAAGCATAATCTTAAGTGATTTATATGGATACATTTTAGCACGTAGCCAGCGGTCGTTTTGGCGATGTCTTCAATGGCATTTATCGAAGTGGTGATCGTGTAGTAGAGGTAGCTGTGAAGGTGCTGAAAGATGAGGAAAGCTGGCATGCAGAGCAGGTAAGGTTCACCTTCATGTAGCAAATGATTAGGTTGGCTGGAAATTTCCTTTATGGGGTCTTTTAGATTTCCAGCACATTTGATATATAAACCTGCATCTAAAATTTTATAGTTAATTGCGCTCAATCGATAGGAGCGGTCTGTGTTAGCAGTTTTGCTCTGCGGGCAAGTTAGAGTATGATAAATGCTCACGCGAGAAGAATGTTCCAACAAGAAAATTGAAAACCTGAAAAATATTCCAGCCGAAAAACGCGCGTTTTGTCCATCTTTTATCGTGCAAATCTGAACCGCTTCTATCTGTAAGTCTATCCTCATATCTATAGGTTTTTAGGGTATATATATTAGTTCCAGCGTGCAGTTAACATACGAGAAAAAATACAGCTTCCTTCGAAACGGCTTATCAGTAGACTTCTTGCGGGTGACCAATTCTTTGCTAATGAAAAAATCTTCAGTGCCACATTCCTACACAGCGAAACGTACGGAAGCCATCCAGACTTCAGCCGCACCTTCACCTCCTACTTTGGTGGCAACTTCGCAGCATTTGGTTTTGAACTGCGCTTAAACACATATAGCCTCAATAGCCATTTTTTCGCGTGCAAGCTCCATATTCAAATAAATACATAAGTGATATATGTCGGAATGTCATCAAAGCCAGCCTAAATAAACGATAGAAATTTGCGGTCACTAGAGCATTAAAGGAATCTTCCACGGACCATGGACCAGTGGGCGGGACCGGAAGTTTTTGTGACGAAATGCATGGTAGGTACGGATCCACGTGTCGAACGCACGAACGTGAACAGGATTCACTTCAAACCTTCCCATGAACGTGGATCCGTACCTACCATGCATTTCGTCGCAAAACCACTTCCGGTCCCGCCCACTGGTCCATGGTCCGTGGAAGATTCCTTTAAGCTTCCTTGTCGTGCGGAGATACCTATATAAGGACCTCTGGAAGCTAGCTGTTGTTCACTTCACTTCGTAATCGTTGTTTGGGTTTCTGAAGTTCCCCTTACTCGTGAAACTGGCAACAGGCCACGCAAAAGAAGGTGCTCTTATAGGATCGCTCGTTGGGGTCTTGGTGTTCTTGTGGAATATCGCTAAAGAATTGGTTGAGTAACAGGTTTTGTTTAGACAATATACATTGATGTACTGCGTCGAGCAGGTCATCCCAACATCTTGCGATATGTGGACGTAGAAAGGCGGGAAAATGAGTACTGGTTGATCACGGAGTTCATGAAAGAAGGAAATCTGCATGATTATCTAAGAGTAAGTTCCTTTCTGTTTTGTTCATTTACTGATCTTAATTGGGTTATTTTTGGAAGAAGGATAGCATTTAGCTCATTTACTAGCGTTGCTTATGCGGCAGTGCGCGTCCGCTTCTTGTTGAAGTGACTGATAGTATCGCTTCGGAAACTCGGTCATATGTATTGGATTGAGAGTTTACGCAAAATCTCTCCCCTCATTTTTTACTCTCCTTTTCTGGTACTCTCACTATTCTGTCCTATTTCCCTAATAAATCATCTTTTTTTCGATATCTGTTTCTCAAGCAAATAAAAATTAGGGTTTCATCTGTATTAGATGAAAACCGATCAGTCAGGTCATTTGAATGGATTCAGTCAAGTTTTATTGTCGAAGTATTTTCAGAATAATGTATTAACAATGAAGCAATGTTTGCGTATAATGTCGGGTATGCTCGAAGGATTAGCATTTCTTCATGAAGCTCAAGGCAACAAATTTACTGTCGTTCACCGGTGAGTTCATTTTTTATGTACTTTTTTTCCTTCAGGTTTGCCTTACAGTTCTCCTCCATGTCTGATAAGCTTGTCCATCTTGTAGGATATTCACGAATGTTTAGATACGGTAGTTTAGTGGTGCTTGTTTTCAGAGACATCAAATCGAAAAACATTTTGCTATCATCAGTGGAGAGCGCAAACGACAAGGAATTGGCTCTGACCGCCTGCATTGCGGACTTTGGTCTGGCAGCGGTGTTCAGTAGTCCTCAAATTGACGAGCAAGTGACAGGACAGGTATTGTGATGCACTTCCTTGCCTTTCTTGTCACATTCTATTATAATGTGCTCCAAGGTTGGAACGTTCCGATACATGTCACCGGAAGTGCTCGAAGGTGCGACTGAATTTACCGTACCCGCATTCCAACGGATCGACGTGTATGCCATGGCTTTGGCAAGTTGCCTTTCCTATTCCTTAGAGAATTCATTACTTGACAAAGTATTGAAAATATTCTACCAGAATTCTGTCCATATATGTTCGCTTTTAAGGTGTTGTGGGAGGTGCTATCGCGTACGCGTCTGAGCGAGGATGACGATGAAGTTCCTCCGTACATGCAACCTTTCGAAGACGTTACCAGTCCCTATCCAAGTCTTGGTGAAATGAGAGACATTGTGGTTAGCCGTAAGCTACGGCCCGAATTTCGGCCGGCGGCAACGAAACATCCTGTAAGTTCGAAATCCAGTGTATGCTAGACTACGCTGTAATATGCCTGCTTGTGGGGAATTGTACGGTTGAAAACGTTTTTTAAAGGTAGCGGGTGCGATTGAGTACACGATTCGAGATATGTGGCATACAATAGCAGATGGAAGGATTACGGCGAGTCTCGCACGCGAACGGATCAATGCTATGAATGGCTGCGATTCACAAGGCTCCGAAGGATACCATTCAAGTAGCGGTTAGTGTCTCTTGCACAAACAACAATATTCAGTCTAAAGAGCAAAAATATAGCCACTCTGTCGTTGGAAGCCACCAATGGACAGTTGGTGGTATGTGCAGAATAATTGACTGTGTAACATACATATCGCCTAGTGTCTAGTGATTAAAACACCTCCAGCAATTTAGGTTATTGCCATTAGAGGCTCAAATTTGATACTGTAATTATCATGTGTTCCGCCAGTGAAGGAAGGTAATCAGGGGGAACCGTACATCAAAAACATGTCCCCGATTCTGTAATTGAATTCGGAGTTGGACGGAAATGGGTAGTGACAACTGGCGCTGCTTACCGCGCGCGTGGTTCGGGATCCGGGCCAACCAAGCCTTCCATCCCTCCGGGGTCGGTTAATTGGTACCAGACTTGTCTGGGAGGATAAAAACACTGACTTGTACATCGGCTGGCCCCCGCAAGTCATATAGGCCACATCGCATTCAAACGCCACTACGAATGTACAAATGGAAGTAGAATGCGTGCCGCATCCCAAAAGGGATTGATCAACGGCAAATGCTTCATCTGTTTATCGGACATTGTGGAAGGATAAGTGTGAGCGCCGCGGACGTGCGAAGGGATGAGATAGTGGGGCAGATGGAGGTGCAGGTAGCAGTAAGTATCATTTTCAAGATTAGCGAGTGGGACAGGATTGTGAGATTGCGAGCGATAGGAGCCCCTGGCACTCACCTAGGAGTTAGTCGCGCACCCTGTGTCTGTGTCTTGTGGATGACTCCACCTCACTGCTCGCCAGTGGGGGGGGGGGGGTATGGCCCCGCTTAAAAATCATGGAATGTCTGTCTAATCCCGCTCTTTATGTGAAATGTATACGCAAAATGCAGACAAGTAGAGAAGTGCTCTTTCAGAAGAATACGGGGTGGGTCTATTCATTAATTTATTTGCATTCAAATATTGCATTAAGGAACTATTAACGCAAGTAGCCCAACGTCAACATATTTTACAATGATACCTTTTACAGATCACAATCGAAAAGTATCGGTGGCATCCACAATCAGTGAAGAGGATGGCTGCGCACCTGCAGGCAGCAGTTTGAGCAGTGGCGATTTCAACAACGTCATTGATGATACGCCCCAGACCCGAGAGTTGCTGAACGAAGCTGCTGAGAGAGAGCGGTGATACAGCATTCTGTCAGATCTGCCTTCCGGCAACCATTTGGTGGCAGCACCAAGTACGCTAAAGGCTGCACGACAAGTGACGTCAGCAGTGCGCGAGGGTGGGTAGGCATGTGAATGCTGGCCACGAACCCAAAGGTATCTGTAGACTACCGAAATATCGTGCTGTCTTCAATCCGATCTCATGTTAGCGCAGAGTGTAGCGCGGCTCATCCGTATTGCCACGCCCTTCTGGGGCTTTTTCTGGAAGAAGACCTCTGAAAAGTGAGCAAAATTCTCCGACTGTTCTTTCATGTTGCTTTTAATAATTCTAGCAATGTGACGCTGTTAACGCATAGTTAGCTATTCGAAATCTGGCAACTTTTGTTTGGAAGGGCAGAAGTGTGGTGATGGATTATCGATAAATAACGCAGTCTAGGGAGAAATCTTCCTTCTTAATTTCGAGTACTATCTACGTGTGGTCAATGTTCGTGATATGACAGTTTGCAATTTGAAAAATAACTGTTTTTGTTTTCAACAATAGCAGAAGAATATTGTTAATTATGCATCATCTGTGGCCATCCATCAGCACAACCCTAGAGGGTTACCCAATGTAATACTGTCACGCTTTCGTTCTGTAAATATGTATGTACGATAACAGTGCTGAATTTGTTGATACCTCTCGATGTTGTGCATTTCAATGTTCGTTTGTTTGTGGCTTTCAGATGAGCTATGTTCAGGTATTTACCTTTCTACTTACCATAACTACAACTAATTTTTCATATTCCTCCCAATACCATTTAGTGAAGGACTCTAACGTCTTTCTAAGGACATACAAAGCTCCCCCACGTTGTCATAGAATAATTTATTGGTTTGTTAACGTTAAACGCTGTGATACTTGCTAGTGAAGTATAGCCCTTTTTGATATGCTAGTCCTCACAGAGTACAGATTGTTTTAAAGTTATCGAATAGCTTGTATATCTTCTGTTGTCAGTCGATCTTATCGATTAGGTCTGTCTGTTAATGATTGCGCGGGTGTTGTTACAGGATAATGATGTTACAAAGACTATTCACAACAGAAAAACATGATATGTTATATATGTTAATATGTTGATAAGTATGGCTGTATACATTTGATAAAATAATTTTTGTCAAATGATTTGTTTCATTACGTATTGTGTCGTTTAGCACGCAACTGGTGGCAGTTACTACCCTGATTACTGTTTTTGATAAAAAGTCTACCAATTAGTCGTGAAAGTTTACCAAAACTTCATTGCCGACCTTATAGTAGATCTAGGGCGGAGGGATTTGAAAATATAACACTAACAAAAATACTTTTTGCGACTTGTGGTACACGTAAGTTGTTGTATGTGGGTAACCTAACAATAAGTCCGTTTTACTCATCATCAAGTTTAGATAACTTGTAAGTAATATCTCGGATTGAGACCGCGTGTAGGTTGTAAAAGTGCATGCAGACTAGGACCCTTGGGTGTATCCTTACCAGGAAGGTCTTTCAGGGCGTGCCAAGCTTTTTGAAAACGGTCTTTTGCATGATATAGGGGCACATGCGGGAACCACAGAACCATGTTTAATTTTTCCTGAACGGCCCTCTGAATACCAGAAAAGGGGGTCCCTAGTTCGATTCCTCGTGGTGACAAATTTTTGCATTTCGAGTTGACGTTCCAAAATTCGCGCAAAATGGAGTTCTGATTGTTCTGGTTGGTTCTAACTCCATTTTGCGCGAATTTTGGCAACGTCAACTCGAAATGCAAAAATTTGTCACCACGAGGAATCGAACTAGGGACCCCTTTTCTGGTATTCAGAGGGCCGTTCAGGAAAAATTGAACATGGTTCTGTGGTTCCCGCATCTGCCCCTATATCATGCAAAAGACCGTTTTCAAAAAGCTCGTCACGCCCTGAAAGACCTTCCTGGTAAGCGAACACACGAGGATGTGGTTGTGCTGGCATAACGTGTGAAATCATCTAGGTTGATTGCCGTATCAACCGATGGAACGGCTGGCATATCCGGAAAACTCGTTTGGACGTGGCTCTCTCCCAAGCAAGCCTCCTTCACTGCTAGTGGGAGCGGGGTTTCGTTTTCGGCCTTGTCGACGGTTTCTTTTCGTTTTTTCTCCACTGTCGTTCCATTTCGCATCTCCATACTCAGCTTTCAATCGCCATAATACCTCCTTTAATG